CACACACACACACACACGCACAGCCATCACTCAATCATTTGTTCTCATCATGGATTTCAGCTACAGTGTGCAGTTAATGGACAATTTCTGTTAGTGCCTCGGTGTGTGTGTGTGTGTGTGTGTGTGTTTGTGTCTGTATACAAGACAGAGAGAGGCTGGAGGACAGGGAGAGGGAGAAAGTTTCATCACTGTCGACGGTGGCTCTGCGCTACGAGCAGCGGGAGTAGGGGAGGGGGGGCATTGACATTTTTATCTTTCCATTGAATTTAATCTGTGTGATGGACGAGCTGCCAGCACTTTAATTTTCCTCACACGAATTATCCCTGTCTGCCCACCTCTCTCTGTCTTGTATACAGACACAAACACACACACACACACACACACACACCGAGGCACTAACAGAAATTGTCCATTAACTGCACACTGTAGCTGAAATCCATGATGAGAACAAATGATTGAGTGATGGCTGTGCGTGTGTGTGTGTGTGTGTGTGTGTGCGTGCGCGTGCGCGTGTGTATGTGTGCGTGCTGTCACAGTATTCTGTACACGTCACACACCGGCTCCTGTAAATCATTTTTTTATGCAATGAACACGGAACCGCAAACAATCCAGGATGCAAGTTCCCCCATTAGCATTCGTATTCTCATAATGCATTTCAAGAAAGATGCATCGCTTGAGGTTGGCACGCACGCACGCACACAAACATCAAATGCACGTTTGTGTCCACGCACACACACACACACATATATAATAAAAAAACGCAAGACAGTATTTCTTCTTTCATTTTAGCTCCCCCGCTACAGGGCCCCCCCCCCCCCCCCCAAGTGTTATTGCATGTGGCAATTCGCCATGACAGATCGTCAGTCGTGCCTAATAGTTCTTTAATGACTTCATTAAATTGTGTTGTGCGGCTTATGACTGTGCTGCCAATTTGTCAGCGCGGGTAATGTCTGGGCGCTAGGGATGCCCCACTTTTATTTGTGAATTAATTGGACATCGACTGCGTTGCGGCCCCTCCACCCCTCCCCTCATGGCAGGCGGCACACAGGTCCTCCAATCAGCGCCGCGAGCGAGGCCGGCCCAAATATGTTTCGGCACTTTACTACGGTTTTATGTAGCTGGCCTCAAAAGCCGGTGATGGCTTAAGAGGGTGTTCCCTCTCTAATTAAGACATAATTAGCTCGTAGAAGTAAATGAAAGTGGGAAGCTTTTGCTTGCTTTTATTAACATAGTTTATAGGACTGTCTCATCATAACATATTGTATTATATGGGGGATCCACATGTGTTTTGGTGACTACACTAATCCACCCTATGAGTACCAATAAAACGCTGGCAAGAAATGCTGTGCCGTGCACTGTCTGCACAGCAGGGTCTTCTTCATTTCTTGTTGTGCCGAGCAGTGCTTAGCAATAACATTGTGCAGCATCAGACTTCCAGCCCCCTCCTTCCCTCCATGTTCTCCCAGGCAGGGAGGCCTGTCTGCGGGCTGATGGATGAGCAGCAGCGACCAGGTAGTGCATCCCTCCCTGGCCCCCGGACCATGCCCCTTCTGTCACAGACACTGATCTCCCATCAGCCCGAGCGCTCTCACCCTTAATGGTCAAGGTTAGGATTAAGACAGGGAAAATCTGATTTTAGGTCAGCTTGCTAAGGGGGCGAAATTTAGGTACCTGGAGGGGAGGTAGAGATTGCGAGAGCTGATTGAGATGACGAGGAAAGTGGGATGATTTAAAGCACAAGAAATACAATTTTGGAAAGGGGAGATAGTGAGAATGAAATGAGAGGAGGAATAAGAGTTGTACAACCGAGAGAGAGAGAGAGAGAGAGACGTAAAAAAGAGAGAAAGCTGGAAGGTTTTTCTCCGGTATGGGCTGAGCAGCCGAGCCCTTTTAAAACCATTAGAGGCAGGATATTTGTCATATTATGTTATTAGATTAGCCGGGTCCCCTAATGAAAGCTGTGGCAATTCGTCAGCCTTATGGATGGCTCCATCCCCCACCACTATTTATCAACTCGCACCCCGTCTCACCCAGCCCACCCCCACCCTCAACACACACATACACAGCCCAGTCATAGCTAAACTGCACCCCAGTCTGGATGGGAGAAATGGATGGACCCTGTAATGGGATTCCAATGCTAAACACCCCGCCTGGTGTTTTTTATCATTTGGGGTGAGCACACTATTCTCAGCCAGATCGCCCAGAGGGAAAGCACATTGGATTATTTCAAGGTTTTTTTCTTTCCTCCCCTCCATTACCACGGCCCTTCTCCGTGGAGTCGTCTCACAACATTTATCTTGCAGCGTAGGATAAGAGAAGGGACGCTGCGGTCGCTGCTGCTGTTTGCTGCAGACGGAGCGTCCTTTCGTGCCGAGGAAGCATGTTGCAACACGTTCTCAAGCAATATGTACAGATTGAATTGATGAAGGCCGTACAAGTTTGGTTTCTACAGCGAGTTTCTAAAAATGTAGCTGAGATACAGTAGGAAAACTCTATTTAAGATAGTGAAAAGTTTGTCAAATAAGCTTGTGTAAAGCTTAAATTTGTCACTGCTTGTCATTGTTTTTATGTTGTTTTTTTAACACAAATAGTAATCTTTCCTTCTGCCTCTCTCGTTTAATCCCTGTAGCAGTAAGGAATGACCGGAATAAGAAGAAAAAGGATGAGAAGAAACAGGAGTGCACAGAGAGCTACGTGCTTAGTCCCGAAACAGAGCGGATGATCGACCGGGTTCGCAAGGCCCACAAAGAAACGTTCCCGTCTCTCTGCCAGCTGGGCAAATACACTACGGTTAGTAGCATGACACTGTACATTTGTTCACCTTTTGTTAGCTGCAGTTTATTTTCACCTGCACTCATTGTATTCATCTGGAAATATCTAAAAAAAAATGTTGCTCACCTCTCCCCCTCCTTCCAGACTAATAGCTCGGAACGACGTGTATCTTTGGACGTAGACCTCTGGGACAAGTTCAGCGAACTCTCCACCAAGTGCATCATCAAGACGGTGGAGTTTGCTAAGCAGCTGCCCGGATTCACAACGCTCACCATCGCTGACCAGATCACTCTGCTCAAATCCGCCTGTCTGGACATCCTGGTAAGAACAGCAGCCCGCCATATCTTTATTTCTTCTCCACAGAATGTAACTGAACTGATAACAGCAGAGGACTTTCTAACCAATGTCCCCGTTCTGTCTCCGCCGTCACCAGATACTCCGGATCTGTACACGCTACACACCGGAGCAAGACACCATGACTTTCTCAGATGGACTCACGCTAAACCGAACCCAGATGCACAACGCCGGCTTCGGTCCCCTTACCGACCTGGTTTTCGCCTTTGCCAACCAACTCCTCCCTCTGGAGATGGACGATGCGGAGACGGGGCTGCTCAGCGCCATCTGTTTGCTGTGTGGAGGCAAGTCACCTCGAAACTTACCGAACATTCTCTTTGCCGACTCTTTGAATTCCAGATCATAGCTTTAATGAACTGATAAGAAATAACAGTAGTGGCCCTGCTGGGCTCTTTCATTGAGCACCACCTAGTGGCAGACTGTGAGTATGACAGTAGTACATCACTGACACATTTGTTTCTGTGTGTTTCTCCACAGATCGTCAGGACTTGGAACAGGCAGAGAAGGTGGATGTCCTGCAGGAGCCCCTCCTGGAGGCGCTGAAGATTTACGTGAGGAGGAGGAGGCCCCACAAACCGCACATGTTCCCCAAGATGCTGATGAAGATCACCGATCTGAGAAGCATCAGCGCTAAAGGTCTGTGGTGCTCACTAGTCACTAAGTCTTTGTATGTGAAGAATGCTAAAAGATTAGTTGATTAAATGATTGCTCATGTCATATTGATGTTGTGTTTAAGAGAAAGAATGACTTGAATGAATACCTAAAATGTATTTAGTCAGATCTATGGTAGCTTACGTTTCCCTGTCTCTCTCTCTCTCTCTCCCTGCAGGAGCTGAGCGTGTCATCACCCTGAAGATGGAGATCCCTGGCTCCATGCCCCCTCTCATCCAGGAGATGCTGGAGAACTCGGAGGGCCTGGAAAGCGGTGCCGCAGGCGGCCGGCCCAGTGGTGCCCCCCCGGGCAGCTGCAGCCCCAGTCTGTCCCCTAGCTCTGCCCAAAGCAGTCCGGCCACACAATCGCCGTAGTAGCGGCCCACCTTTTTATTATTCCTCACGATGCCCTCTGTGTCCTCCCTCGGCGTTCTAAAGAGGAGGGGGCCAAGGAGTGGGGGGGGGGGGGGGCCTTGCCCCTAACTGCTGAACTCAGGAGACTAGCAGACCCAACCTCCTCCTCTCTCACGACACAAGTCCCCACCTCCTGATCTGCTTCCCCTCACTGTGGAGCACCTTCCTGGTGTGAGGGGAGGGGAGGCCGGGGCAGGTCGGGGCAATAGTATGCCTCTGAGCGACCACACCGTAAACACTGCTGATGACTCCTCCCGCGTCTCCCTCCACTCTGCCCCTCCACTGCTGCGCCTCCTTTCGCCACCTTTTCCCCAAAAAAGACTAATGGAAACAAATCTGGGATGCAGTGGTGACCAGTTTCGATTGGAACTGAGAGTGGGCGGGGCATCGTGGGACAAATATATGATCAAGGACAATGCATACAGACTGACTTGACAAACACCAGACACTTTTCTTTTGTTGTACTCTGAGGCAGACTGCAAGCTTGGGACTTGTCAAAAGACCCCCCCCCCCCTCCTCAAAGACTCTGGGTCTTTTCTCTTTTTCCAACTTCAAAAAAAACAGATTTCGTACAAAAGATATATAAATATATATAGAAAGTTAAGGAACTATTGTGATTGCCATGTCCAGAACAGAATGGCAGGTTGAAATGAGGACATGTTTTCTGAGATTAGAAATTGTTGTATTCCTCCACCGTTTGAATCTTGTCATACCCATCGAGAGTATTGAGAGAGACCTTTCAGTTTGATCACATTTGTACATTATTCCAATTAACGAAAAGTAAAAGATGTTGACATTTCTCTCCAGTCTACACACGCAAACAAACAAACAAGACACACACACACACGTGCACAGAAAACAAGTCGCAATGAATATCACCCACTATTCCAGGTTGGATTTGTTTTCCTTTTTTTTCCTGTTTTTGTTTTTTTTTTGCTTCCAAGATGATGGAATAAAATGATTGTATGAACTTGGTTGTATGATATGGTCACAGGTCCTTTCAAGAAATCAAATTAATGAAGATTCATTATTAAGGTGTATTTTAAGTAGCCTTTGAGTTTGTGTATATAAGCTTTATTCATTTCTGTAAAACTATGAAGAGTTTTTTAGGCTTCACCTGATTATTATTATTTTAATTTTTTAAAGAATACCATCTATGTGTTTTGTTTCTAGGTTTGTGATGCAAGAAAAGACATTTTGAGCACATTTTACTGAAGGAAGTTCTTTCATGTGTTGTGTCCTACTAAATACTGGACAGACCCTTAACCAATCACTGGCTGTTCAGAATGTGGCTTTCACAGACAATTTCAACCCCCCCTTCCCCCCCTTCACTTTTAAAACGTGTTTTTACATACAGTAGAATGACTAAGTAGCACTCCAGTCGGGGCATAGCTTTTTTTGGGGCCATGTTGGCAGAAAGAGATGGTGTTTCTGAAAAATGGTGAGCCAGACGGCACTTGTAGCCTGCCAGGTTCAAGTGAGCCGCAGCAGCTCCGCCTCAAAGAGAATTAAAATGTGAAGAAAGGTGTACATACACACTGTATTAAACACACGGGATTCTCAGAAGTCTCTGAATGGATCAATAATCTGTCGTGGATGGGAAAAGGCTAGATTGTAGTGATGCCTCTGCTCTTGTCAGTCGTCAAGGCAAGTGAAGGTCCCAAATGTGATGTCTGTCAGCTAAGTCCTCACAACCCCCCCCCCCCCCGGTAACCTGTGGTAGAAACGAATATGTGACTTTTTTCCAGAGCAACCTCGCACCCTGTGACTCACTTTACGCCAAAACGCCTTCACCGTTAACACACACACACACACGTTTCATCTAGACCATCGTTACTGTACACACGCCAATGTCTCAGGAAGGAATCATTTTGTGTGCTTGGCCTGTTCTATGTCCTGTGCTGCACCCCCCCTAACCCTCCACAGATGCGAGCGCGCGCACACACACACACACACACACACACACACTTCTGCTACTGAGCCCCTGAATTTTTCTTCAGTCACTCGTTTTTTTTGTTTGTCCTGGCAGACCAGGACTTGTGCAGAGAGACACTTACCCTAACCCTGCAACGTTACGACATAGGATGCCAGTGTGGAGTCTCTCCGAGTCGTTTCATGTGTTCTTTTTATTTGTACGGTCAAAGCTGCTTTCATCATTAAGGACTGTCCACAACAGCGCACAACTTTTCCCTCCACAGCTAATCTGGAATAGCAACGGACACACCGTCAGTTTGAGAATTATGGAGTATGTTGCAATTTTGTCAAGATTATCAAGCAACTTTGAAAAAAAAGAAAAGAAAACAACAAAAAAAAAGATACAAAAATAAAAACATTTAATATTAAATGAGTTTGTGTTGGCGTGTGTCATTCTTTTCATTCACATGCTACAGGCTAAGTATGTTTTCATGCATCATACATATCACTTGTTCACTCTCTCTGAAGCCTTGGAGCCCCCTGTGTGTGCAGCAATAGCAACACATTGAAGAGATGAATAACGAGGGTTAACAGCACAATCTTAACTTCTGTATTTAGTGTTGAACATTTGCCATCACCCACTGAATAAATACCATCATGACAGTGACCTCAATCGAAATCAGCATGAACGTAGGTTAACGTGAAACTTTGTAACTTTTGAAGAACAGGTAATGTATCTTTTAAAAGAGTGAGTTTGCAGACAGTTTTAGCAATTACCATTACCCTGTAATTGCCATTTGAGCAACATGTACACATACTCAGTTTTACAAGAATACAATAGAATGTATAGGAAAAAATGACATCAGAAACTGTACATCCAGTCCTGGGCTGGATTAACAGCTGTACTGTGTAGATATAGTGCACAGTACATTATTGATTATTTTTGGAATATGTTGTGCTCTCTGGAGTTGGTTGCAAGGCGAAGACAACGCAATCATCAAATTGTTACTTGATGGTGTGGATTAGACCCAAGCAGACAAATCAGTACTTGACTTTACGCCTGTAATGGATTACTTCAAAAGTAGTTGGCACACCTAATCTGACAACCACTGTCTATAATCACAATGACACTGCAAACACACTGCATGCATTGCACAAAAAATAGGAAAATTAATCATTTGTTCTCCCATTATCCGTTTATTAACAGACTTATTTTAGGAGCATGTAATTGCAAGTATATGCACCTATAAGCATTTTTCACCAAAATGTCAAAATCTTACAGCAGAAATTCAGAGCTGCCACTAATGACATTAATGATGGCTCTGCTCCATTTAGGTGTTTCAGTGAGCCCAACTAATAAACCAGTAGGCTATACATAATACCACGGCCCTTCAACTTGAACACTATTGAAAAACAGCCCTCATTGATATTATTAATTACACTTGTGTTTTTTTCTGCAATGTAATGTCAAAGTTCCTTGTGTGAAAACAGTCCGTTATGATTATGTACAACAAATACAGTACTATAAATAATAGCTACTCAATACTTTGATATCATGTATGTTGAACCCATGAAACAGAAGATCCATTCTAGTCTGTTAACGTTCATGAAAAACCTCGATAAAAAATATATGTTTACAACATCAGAAGTGCCTAAAGCTTCAGCACGGACCAGTCTATGCCCTGGAGAAACCTTATGCCCCTCCCTCTTGTCGAATAGTGACGTTTCAACCAATCACAATCCTTCGCGCGGAATTTCAAATATTTTCAAATCAGATTCCCTTTACCGAAGTAAGATTGTTCCGCCGAATTCGTAAACAAAATAGTCCCTTTCATGTAAACTCAGGTTAAATATTATGCTGGGAACGAAAAAGTGCGAAATATAGTAACGTAAAACCCAACTATTGTTTGTATCCCAAAACATAAGTTAACCGTTGTATTTTTTAAGGCTACTGTGTGTTTGTAGTGTGGCGGAGTGATACCACGGCATGTATCTGGAAGCGGCGAGTAAAGCCAAGGGACGTATGTACAAGGTAGCATACGTTAGCCATTCGTCTTAGGGCATGGTAGGATATCAATAGTACGTTTAGTCTGATATGATACCGTAGTAAAACTACTCTTTGTCACATCCTGGTCGATGTTTATGGACTGCCAGAAGTTGACATTTCTTTGAGCGGACTTCCAGGTAAGGTAAGACTGAAACACCAAACGTTACTAATGTGTTTCATCGTGTAGTTAAATCTTAGGCCATACAACGTTCGTCAATTGTAGCTAGTTTAGCGTTACACGCCTAGTTAAAAAACGTATGTTGTTTAGTAGTAGTTAGTAGACATTGATTTCCGACTTAACTCTAACATTGCCATGGTGGCGACGTTGCACGTGGGGTTTCGCAGTATTGCCAGCAGTGTGTTTTAACTTCACCGTACGCTAACTACGACCCGCTGACGAGTTATTTAAAAGTGAACCATAACGTTGGATAAAACGTTATTAGCTAACGTTAAATTGCTAAAGATATCTTTAAGCATATCGATGATGTTTTGTCGCAGACAAGTAGGCCTTCCGTTGCTTGCATGTTTCTGGAAGGCTTCTTCCTAACGATAAAACGCTATTCTCCAATAAAACAGTTAAATAAGTTGACCTGACGTCGCTGTTGTTAAAGGACTTGGCCCAGTCGTGACACTAGTGTTTGCTCGTGTTCCCAGGTAACGTTACGAAAATGCCATTGCATGGGAAGATAGTGGTGATCAAGAGGACTGGAGGAGATGGCACCGAGTTTCCTCTTACTGCCGCATGCTTGTTTGGAAGGTGAGTTTACTAAAATCGCATTTGGGGGATATGTTAGATCGTCATGTGTAACTTCAGTTATTTCAGATTAAACCTCCTTTCGTTTCCTGTGTTTAATTCTAATTGCACTAGCTTTGTTTTTTATTGTAAGATGTACATGTTAACTACAATAACGCATGCTAAAAGAAACCACATGTTATCTCGGAGCCAGCATGTACTATGTGTAGCCATGTTGAGCCGTGCTATTGAACCCCTTGTGGCCTGGAGGCGGGACATCTGCTGATGACGTCATTTGTTTATTTGTGATCTTACAGGAAGCCCGACTGCGATATCCGTATTCAGCTTCCCCAAGTCTCCAAGGAGCATTGCCGAATTGACTTCAATGAAAATAAAGAGGTAACGACACATTTTGAACGTGACTACATTAACGTGTTTCAACTTAGTGGGATGTCTATGATAATATGGAATCGTTACCGAATAGTCACATCGATGTCTTCGTACTGTGGTCATCCCAATGTTCGTTTTGTAGATGCTTGAATCACTTGTGCATTCACTGCAGGGGGGGTTTGTGACCTGGATAGAAGTAGAAGCCTGGCTGACGCTGGTACTCTGCTTTGACAGACTGTGTTTATGGTGACGCTTATGTTTGTCTCTCCCAGATCATTTTGACAAATTTGAGCTCGGCAAATCCAACCCTTGTCAACGGAGAGGTTTTGCAGCAATCTGAGCGTCTGAAGCACGGAGATGTGATAACTGTTATTGATCGTTCTTTCAGGTGAGTTCGACTGGAACATTTCGTTGCCTTCCATAGTCACCGAATGAGTTTGTTTATGTCATTTACACTTAAGTACTATGATCTTCGAGAGCATCCTTTTATTAATTGTCATTTATTTATTTGAGCTGTATTTGTACCGTGGTAGACTTTATAGAGAAATGATCGTGCAATATATTTAAATCCACAATCAGTTGCTGCTACACTTTGCACCGTGTGTTTACTGCCCACGGAACAGACGTCACTTCATCTGAATTTCCACATCTACTCGGTTAACTGAACGATGTGAGCATAAGCTGCTGCTACCACCAGACCTCACACCATTTTAATATCCATAATCAACGTGCTGTTTAATTATATCTCTCACCACCAGCTCTTTCTATTTCTCTACAAGAGTTTTACAGTTATGTGTTCCCATATTTACCATTTGTTCCTCTTGACGGTTCCACTTCTCCTCAAATGTGCCCATTAGAGCTAAGTACAGGCAGGATGTATTTAAACGGCACGTGTTATTTTGGGAAATGGGAATCCCATGGTCTCTTTTCCCAAAGTGTTACCACTTTCATGAGGTCGTACTTACATTTTGTTGCCGATTTGTCATTTCAGGTTTGAGTACCCTCCACCACCCACGCCGAAGAAGAGGTCTTCCATAGGAGGCAAAACTGAAACCCTCAAAGTAATCATCCCATTATTTATCTCTCGTCACTAGAGCAGTGCAGCCTTCCTGATGTCTTGAGTTGCCTACTACTGATCATTTGATTCTTATACATGTGTTAACAAAAGTGTCTCTTGTCTAGGTTCTTCAAAATCAACACGTGGGGGACACAGTTTCCACTGAAACTGGAGAAAAAGTGTCCACAGGTGAGATGGTGATTTTCCTGAATTAGAGATTTGAGAGTTTAATATTTGAAGATAATGTTGCGCAATTAACAGTCGGTGTGCATTCCCAGAATTAGTATTTCTGTTGCAGGTTATTAAATATGATAGCATACAAGTTAAAGGGATTTTGGTTCCTGTATTTATTTTTTTCTCTCGTCTAACACTGTTTTGTTGTTTCTTCTAATTGTAAGACCCTCATCTTAAAGATGGAACTAACCATGAAAACATCCAGCGACCCCTGGAGAAAACTGTGGAGATGGAGACCAAGGAGGGTGAAGGCCTGCAGCAAAGCAAGACGGCCTCCCCCTTCAACGATCTGTATCAAATGATCAAAAAGTCCCTGGATGTCAAGACCCCTCGGAAATCATCTGCCAGTGTACTTCAAACGCCTACCTCGAGGTTTTGCACTCCAAAACCTGCTTCAGTCAGGAAAAATGATGGAAACCTCGTCATTTCCACAGAAGACCACATCACTCCTAAGAAGGATGAAGCTAAAGTCTCTTCTGTCGCTGATGAAGCTAAGCCGGAGGCTGGAAACGTAAGTAACGGGACCCCAAAGTCTGTGAAGAAGCAGAGGAGGTCCGTCCAGGTTCCTTCCCCTGAGATGGCCAGACCGGAGGTTCAAGAAGCTGAAAATGCTGCCAGGTCTGAAGCGACTTCCCCCCAGAAGAGAATCCGTACACCTCCCAAGAGGTTTACTGTAGAGCAAATTTCTGCAACGCCCAAATCACCCGTGAGACGGAGAAGCAAAGAGGCCAAACCGGCAGAGACGAAGGAACAAGAAGAGGAAGCGGTTACTTCTCCCAAAACGGAGCGTCTTCGAAAGGCATCACCAAGGAACTCCGGGAAAGGTGAGAGACTGTAGTACTATAGTTTCTCTTTGTTAACCCAATCACACTAATTATTCCAGCACGTTATGTTCACGTGTTTGGTTGTTATTGACGCACAGTCATGTTTTCAATTCATTTCTTAGTGAAAGAGACGTCCAAGAAGCGTAAAAGCGAAGAACTTGGGGCCGACCTTCTCACGTCCCAGATGAAGAAGAAACGGGTTTCCTTCGGAGGTTCTCTGTGTCCCGAGTTATTTGATAAACGTCTGCCGCCCAACTCTCCGCTACGCAAAGGGGCCGATCCGCGCAGGAGTCTGTGTGTGACTAAACCCGTACAGTCACTCCTGCGACGAGCATCAGCCATTTGCTTGCTACAGGTGAGACTTAAGTGGAGAATGATGACTCAAATAGTTTCACCTGACACGTATAAATGTTATCCATCCTATAATTCTATTTAAAATGGAATGTTTGTTTTTTGCAGGACAAGAAGACTGGAAAGACCCCTTCTCCCAAGGCTGCGTCTCCAGCAAGGGGACGGTCTCCCACTGTGCAAGGGCGCTTTTCTGTGTCCCACATCGACACACCATCTCCAGTTGCAGAAGGTGCCTTTACTGAACAGGTGTCTTTAGTCACTGCAACTCACCTGAGGAGGACGTGCACCTCACGGGAGGCTCCAAATCTGGCAAAAGTAATGCGCAGAAGAAGTGGCATTTCACGGGCCTCTATGAAAGGTATGTTGATGCTTAATACGTCTCTTACGTGAGGATTGTTGTCTTTGTTCCTTGCACTGTATCATCAATAGAAAACTTCAGTTCCAAAAATGTCAGTGGTGTCCTGAAAGCCATTCAACTTCCATGTTTGCCATTCAGTTTTATCACATTCATCATATCTTATTTCATCCGTCTGTCATTTATTATTATGAAATGAAAACCGTTCACAGACAATGCGGTCGATGTCTGATGTTTGTTAATATTTTTTTAACTTTTTGTATCTTTACAGTCAAAAATTCCTGGGCAGAAATTGTGAGATTTGGGCAAACTAAGGCTCAAGTGGCTCCAGCTAAAAAAACGGTCACCAAAAAGACAACGAAGAAGGCTGTCTCCAAACCACAGGTAAAGTACGACACACTGAGGATTACATGGTACATTAACGTCATTGTAACAACTACAACCGTAACTTGTTGGACCTATTGTTGTACTCAAAGGGCACACTGCATGTCAACTGTTACTGTAGTATGTGTATGTCGTTGTGTGATGTTGGCATAAAACTACAGAGACGATGTCTTTCTCGATCTCCTCAGACCCCTGTGAGAAACTTCGACAGCCATGTCAGCACTGGGCATGCCGATTCCCCCGTTACCATCGTGGTGGGCAGAGCGCACAAACAAAAAGTCGTACAGCCAACTGGTGCCGCCCCGAAATTGGTCCCCAATATCGCTCTCTTTAAAAAGAACACGAAGACGGGGGAGGACTTGACAGGTAATTGACTATTTGTCATCCCAACTAATGGGAAGGATTTTAATTTTTCTGGTAATGTAATTTGGACTTTCAATATTGTACCGGCTTATGTTGTGTGTTGTGTTGTTAGGAATCTCTGAGATGTTGAAAACCCCCGCAAGTGAACAGAGGACGAGATCTGTGATCGATGAGAACGACGCCCCAAAGACACTGGTGGGAGGTCTGGGCACGTCTGTGGTGGAACCGTCAGTGTTGAACACACCGGAGGAGACAGGTAGAGTCTGGTGGTGTTAGGGATTATAGGAGAGAGCTGAAGCATAATTGCTGAGTCTCAGGGGTTTGTCAGGTTAAGCCAGTTGGGTAATTGAATGTTAAATGTTTTGCAGGTGAAATGATGGTGTCTCCGCTGAGTGTTTCATCTACAGTAAAAGACAGAAGCTACAACAGCGAGGCGGTCCAACGCCTCTTTGATAATGACCAAGAAGCCAGCGTCGTTGGAGCAGCCCCCGCTGTGGAGGATTCTAGCGAACAGCAGCGCCCAGATGTGAAGACCACGTCTGTAGCGACTCCCAAACAGAAGCCAGAGTTACCGGAATGTCTCACTGGAGTGAAGAGGATGATGAAGACGCCAAGACAGAAAGCGGAGCCTATCGAGGACCTGAGAGGGAAGCTTTTGAAGACTCCTAAGCAGAAGCCGGAAAACCAGGAGTGTCTCACTGGAGTGAAGAGGATGATGGCGACCCCAAGACGGGAGGCTGAACCTGTAGATGACATCAAAGTGGAACTTCTGACCACTCCCAAACAGAAGCCTGAACAACAAGAGGGCCTCACTGAAGTTAAGAGACTTTGTGAGACTCCACAACCGGAGGTTGAGCTTCTTGAAGACGAAGGAAAACCTGTGGAAGCTCCCAAAGCTCTAGAGGCTAGTGAGGTACTCGTGAAGACACCAGCACGCGTGCAAGAATCAGAAGACCTCTCTGAAATCAGAGACCTGACAGCCCCAAAGAGCTCCCCATTGGTGTGTCTCACAGATGGCAAGAGAATAGCAAAGACCCCCAAGGAGAAAAGTGCTCCAGTGGAAGATGTGGTTGGTGTGAAGAGGCTCGTGAAAACTCCCAAAGTAAAGGCCCAACCGGTGGAGGAGAACTTCGGTATTGAGAGACTTGTGAAAACGCCGAGGCTGAGCGCTGATGCACCGGTGGAAGACGTTGAGGGAGTTCAAGAGCTCATGGAGGAGCCACTGACTGAACCCTCAGCACAGCCGGAGACCAATGAGGTAAACACTGCTAAAAGCTTCTTGTTAGGCTTGTAAATGTTAGCAACTCTTCCGCATTACAGGAAGTCTTTTGATTGAATATGAAGTTTTTAGTTAAGAGCTTTAACATGAGTGTCAGGTACTCGCATAGTTTATAATTTCTTTAATATACCATCAAACATGTAGAGATCAACATCTGCGTAGCCACAGATTGAACATATAGATTCCACTAACCTTTGCAAGACCTTTGTGGTGTTTTCTTGCATTATTTAAAAGTTGGTGCTGATTGTTTAACTTGTTTTTGCAGGTTGCAGATCAAACTCCTCTGGATTGTGATGAAGACGTAGCGAAAGGTAAGTCTGAGTATTAGATGACATTACTTGCAGTGGTTATGTAAACTGCATTACATTGATGAGCTGATTGATGATTTCATTGTCTTCACTGCCTTTTTAAAGAACTAGTCTTTGCCCTCGAGGAGCCAACAGATGTGATTAATGTTCCCCAAGATGACAAAGAAACGGGTATGTTGACTAATTGTCTCTTTTCATTGGTTAATGCTAAATATTACTTATATTATATAGAACATGAACTCTGAGAGATGTTTTCTGAAATGTTGTGGAAAGTCTGCTCTAAAAACACAATGGGGTTTTAATATAAAGTCATTTTCGTCCTAATAGAAGTAGACAGTCTAACAAAACATACTTCATTAAAAACCTGATGCAAATATTTAAAAAAAAATCCCACAGCTACTTCTCCTCGTATTCGTCTCTCTTTAATCTGTATATATATTTTTTGTCTTCTAGAAGCCGATGCAAATGAAGTTGTCGCTGATTTAGAGGAGTTGCCAAGTGGACATGATGATAATGAACCATCGGATGCTGTAGAAACCATCTCTCATGCAGCTGTAGATGAGAATCTATGTGTGGAAAAACCCACAGTGGACACAGATGAGAAGTTATCTGAGGAACAACCTGAAGTGGAAGCTGCTACTATCAAAGTCACAGAAATGGAAACGACTGCCACACACCCTGACCATGAGAAGTCTGTTTTAGACAGCACGCTTAAAACGGCCGAATCTCTTGCAGCTGATGCAGCAGAACACGGTGACGAAGCTGTCGTCTCTGCTCCAGTCAGAGGAAGAAGAGGGAAGAAAACTGAAGCTACAGCACCGCCTGCTGTTAGACAGTCAAGAGGCAGAAATGCAAAGTCTCAAGAAAGCCCCTCTGAGGATCAACCTGAAATGGCCCCATCTGTTACTGTAGACGCTCAACCTCAGAAGTCCATTCCTGCTCTTGAAAAACCCAAAAGAGGGAGAAAGCCAAAACCTGATGCTGTTGAACAAAACAAGGTGGCAGAAGACTCTGTTGTTGCTGTGGAGACCAAGCAGCAGCCTCAGCCTCCAGTCAGGGCTAAGAGAGGAAGAACTGCTAAACTGGAAGAAGAAAAGCTAGAGTCTACATCAGCTGAGACTGTCAACCATGAAGCCAGCAGCAGTGCAGCGCCCCTGGAGAAGGCTGTGTTGAAGCCCAAGCGAGGGAGAAAAGCTAAACAACCTGAAGAATCATTGGCGGAGCAGCAAGATGTGTCTACTTCTCACAGTGAGGATGTTCCTCAAGCTGACCTGACAAAAGGTATGCCAACTGTCCTGTGTGTTTCTGCTGTCAGGTTATTGGTTTCATCTGAATCACTTAAAAGTTTCTGACTCCGTGCAACACATGTAAAAGTGAGGGAATATGTTAAATGAGTTTTCTCCTGTTTTAGAAGCAGATGCCATGGAAACTGCGCCTGTAACTGAGAGTCTACCTGAAGAAGAAACGGCAACGAGCAAAGTCACAGAAATGGATGCAGCCGTTCAGAAGAGATCTGGTCGAGGCAGAAAGGTGAAGCCGGTGGAGTCCAACTCCGCTGAGGAGAAACATGAGGCAGCAGAGATCTGTGACGAAGCTGTCGTCTCTGCTCCAGTCAGAGGAAGAAGAGGGAAGAAAACTGCAGACGCTCAACCTCAGAAGTCCATTCCTGCTCTTGAAAAACCCAAAAGAGGGAGAAAGCCAAAACCTGATGCTGTTGAACAAAACAAGGTGGCAGAAGACTCTGTTGTTGCTGTGGAGACCAAGCAGCAGCCTCAGCCTCCAGTCAGGGCTAAGAGAGGAAGAACTGCTAAACTGGAAGAAGAAAAGCTAGAGTCTACATCAGCTGAGACTACTAAATCCCAGGAACTGGCTAAAAAATTAAAAAGAACCAGGAAGGCAGAGCAAGACCATGTAGAACCAAGAGAAGAAGCCATTGAAATGGTTGTCCCAGAGGAGGCTGACGCTCCACTTGTTGCTGAGCCAGTGAAGATGAGTGAAGAGGCTGCAAAACCCAAGAGAGGACGTAAAGCCGCTGAGGTCAGTTCCACAGACAAAGTTAAACGCGGTACGAGAGGAAAACGAGTTAGTGAAGAGGGTGGAGTCACTTCTGTACCAGAGGATACTGAAGAGAAGAATACTTCTGAGCCAGCCGCTCCAGTCATGAAACAGAGCAGGGCAAGGGGGACAAAGACTTCCATAAAAAACGAGGTTTCACAAGCCGTTCCAGCCAAGAGAGCCCGTCGAGGTGCAGCTGCCCTTGAGGAGACTAATGCAGAAGCCAAAGTCCAGGTTTCAGAGCCTGTGTCGACTTCAGTAGAACCAGCCAGAAGAGGCAGACGGGCAGCAGCAAAGCCTGCAGCGAGTAAAGCCACGGTGACCAGTGAGCAGGCAGAGCCCACTGAAGACTTGCGCAAGGCCGTCATAGAAGACACAAAAAGATCCGTCAAGTGGAAAGAAGAGTTTAAAGAATTCGAAATTCCAAAAGTAACACCTGTGAAGGCAGTCCGAGGTGGAAAGTCCAAACTTGGAGGCCAAGTCGTCGCAGAAAGCAAAACGGTTCCAAAGGCTGCTGACAGAACTGAAGAGGAGGATCTCTCAGACAAAGTTGTAGAAGCTCAGGCCGTCAAGAGAACCAGGAGAGGGCCAAAGGTCGCCGATGTAACCGCTGACGAAGCCGAGTCCACAAGCCGGGTTGAAAGTGTTGAGGCACCGCCCAAAACCCGAAGAGGAAGAGCAGCAAAGAAATAAAGCATTTGTATATTTTGTTCATCCTAATGCCTTTTCCCCTCTTTAGACCGGTCTTTTTATTAGATTGTTCAGCATTTTAGAAAGTAGTTTTATAGACTGAAAATTTAGCACTGCTTTTTTTCTCCAATACATCAGGGAATCTTGTTAAACCATTTTTTTCTATCAAGTTGTATGTTTTTCATTGATGGTTTTACAAATATCTTTATGGTGAAAAAAGTAATTATTAAATTTTTTTGTTCAAATATTTATTTGGTGTTCTGTGGATCTTGATGTGTGGTTATAGTGACTAAGATAATAATTCACCAAATGGCTTGAAAGTGCTAACACCTGAAGCTTTCGTGGAGCCTGTTGGTACAGATACTGTGTTGGTGACGGGGCTCCATCATGGTCCTGCTTTAGTAAGTCACAAGCGCTGGAAGATGAGACTGAAAAGGGAAATTGAATTACATTTGCTTTTTATGTGTTGCTTCAGGTCTGAACTTTTATAGGAAGAGGAAAAATAAAGGGTTTATTCACAGGATATGAAAAATTACTCAAGTGTAAAGGAGTGAAGCAGATGTGTTAATTGACTTTAAAAGAAGTCCACCAAGCTTTTATTCAAGATTCATAATGCATGAGGCATAATGCAATCAATGTCTTCACTTCACTTTTTTTAAGTTAAACATTGTTTGGATTCTCCATCAACCATCATAGGTTATTTTAGTGTAGCATACACAACCTGAGACAGTTTAATCTCTTTGCTTGGAATTACCAAAATAAACCTTTAGACCTCTTTCCTTTTGTTCAAACAAAACAGATTGGAAAATGAAAGATAACGTTAGGCTACGAAATCAGTGCACTAATACATTTACACTGATATACTTTGTTAGAAATAAGCAAAAGTATGATTATGTGATTTAAAAAAATAGACTATTACATTCAACGGAACCGGGTGATTAATAAGGAGTACAACCCGGACATATTTTGGAGACGGACCGGAGACAGACGCACAGCAGACGTTGGAGGGAGATTTGAGTGCGGGGCGCGTGGAGAGCAGTCGGCCGCGAACTTTGCAGACGACTTTAGTGGTTGATTTATTTCTTGCCTTACACTTCTAGTTTGTTTGCCATCATGGAAGCAGACAGTGACATTAAAACCACGCCGAGAGGGTTTCACTGCGTCCTGTGCAACGCCAACTTACCAAACCGTAAGTAACGTTAAGCTAACGTAGCCACAATGAACCCTCCCCTCTACGTTATGTTTCTATGAATGGGGATGGAATACAACCATACCGTCATTCTAAAATCATAACGTTAATGTATTGCATTAGTACAGTTTGCTAATGTTAAACTACAAATGCCAAAGATGGTTAATGTTACGTCATTAGTCTTTATTTCAGTGGTTTGTTTGCAAAATACGGTTTGGTCTTTGAAACTTTATTTCTTTTAAATATGACTTTTGTCCATATTATAATTCCCCTGCAGCGTCTAGCATGGAACAGCATGTCAAAGGGCGCAAACACCAAACGTTGCGCACCGTGCGGGCGACCAGGAAGAGCCAGGAGCAGCACAGTGTGTTCGTCAGCGGCATCAACCCTGTCGTCTCTCAGACCGACATAGCGGAGTACTTCCAGCAGTTTGGTGCTGTCTCAGATATCGTCATGGACAAAGACAAGGTCGGTCCGTTTGATCACAGTGAGGCGCAGCTCATTTAACATGCCAATAACCTCACAGTGCCCCGTCCTGAGAGACACTGTCCCTCTGCACTCACAGGGTGTGTACGCCATCGTGCAGTTTGCCGAGACGGACAGCTTACAGGCGACGCTGTCCCGCGTCGAGCATCAGATGAAAGGCTTGAAGCTGCGAGTCAAACCCCGAGAAAAGAAGGACTTCAAGTTGATTCCCAAGAAGAACGCGTCTCAGAACCTCCAGCAGGCTCTTGAGCGCCTCAAACCTCAGCTGTGTCAGTTGGTGTCTGTAAGCATCCAGTTATCAATACGAAACCTGCTTTATGCAAATGAGTGTGGGTCTTTAAAAGGGATAGTTCGGTGTACTGGATAAACCACGGTGTGTTCCTTTTGTTCTCCTCAAGGTGAATGCACAGATGCAGTATGTGGTAGAGCGATTTCAGCTTGGAGAAAACGAAAAGAAGGCCCGAGGCTTGCTGGTTCAACTGCTGCAAGAAGTTTTCGTAGAGTTTTTTCCAGGTAAACATGCGCACGTAACGGAGTCTGTTTCGGAAATCTCGTCTTACACGACGACAAAATGTTGGTTCGCTCTCTCACTTTTAATGTTATGTTTTTGGATCGGTTGCAGATAGCCAGATTCAGCCGTTTGGTTCATCTGTGAACACTTTCGGCATCCATTCCTGCGACCTGGACCTCTTCCTGGACCTGGACAACACCAAGGTGTTCCAGGCCCATGCCAAGTCCACTACAGAACAGGTCTGGCATCTTTACACACACAGTAAATCATTTATAGCCCAATAGTGAATAATGTAAGTTCACAGGGAGCCTGCTATGTATTGAACCATCCTTCTTTTTCCTTCTGTAGGCAGGGGAGGGCACGTCGGACGATGGCCGCTCCGAGGACTCCATCCTGTCTGATATCGACCTGTCCACTGCCTCTCCGACCGAGGTCTTGGACCTCGTGGCGGCAATCCTCAAACGCTGTGTCCCCAATGTGCACAAAGTCAACGTGGTCGGCAGTGCTCGCCTCCCCGTGGTCAAGTTCCATCACCGCGAGCTTAACCTGCAGGGGGACATCACCATTAACAACAGGTCTGTCAGCGATTGCATTGAAAAGTCATGTGATGTAGCGAGAAATGTTTCTATCTATGTACAGCGATCTGAATTGCAGTACGCTTTTCCTTCTCTTTCGTCCCATATCCCTCTCTAGACTGGCTGTCAGAAACACGCGCTTCCTCCAGCTGTGTTCAGGGATGGAGGACCGGCTGAGACCTCTGGCGTACACCATCCGCTACTGGGCCAAGCAGAAGCAGCTGGCTGGTAAGATGAAGCGCCCTCAGAGCATAGCGTATCGCACCAAACATTTAGGTAGTCATTTAAATTTTTGGTCAACAGATGTCAGTAGAACTCCACTTGCCCCTCTGTAGAGCCTTGTTGGAGCCTTGTTCTAGAAGCTGTGGTTAATAAATCGGCACAAGCACATCTCTGTTTGTGTTGTAATAGAACAGAGGAGTCCCCTGATGTAGAATCGCAACATTAACCAGAGTGTTCTCACACACTTAATTACCTTTTCTCCTGGGGCATATCATCTTTATTCCCTTTGATGAACGGCAGCCTCCGTGCTGCAAGTGTTGTCTTTTTCAACAAGGCACTTGTGCGGAGTGATCAGCGGAACAGGATGGGATCAGTTGCACAGGAGGCTGCCGTGATTGCATAGATCTGTGTTGCCAGGTGCCAAAAAGCAATAATAACAAAAGAAAATGATCTTATTTCAGAAGTAAGCTTTCTACCTTCAAATAAATAAATAAAAACAAGTTTGCTACTTGTTACACTAATTCATGTTACAGGGCACTCTATCCTAGTGTGTAAACCCAACAGAACGTGAGGATAACCAAACTAAACCGTTTGATACTTCACCAAAAGAACCGTCATGGAGTTTTATACGATGTATGTGGAGAAAATGACAGTTCCATAAGATGTCAACAGAGATGTGATTGTATCATTCAGTGCAGATCCAGGGTCTGCCCCTCCGCACCATTACAAATATGCTCATGCTATAATCGTTAACGACACAATGACGTTTGCTTCGTGACGTGTAGGTAATCCCAGCGGTGCCGGTCCTTTGCTCAACAACTACGCTCTGACGCTGCTGATCATCTTCTTCCTGCAAAACTGCGAGCCTCCTGTCCTCCCCACACTGGAGCAGCTCAAAGATATGGCCTGTAAGTGCTGCACGGCTCCTTCGCTCCAAAGGCCTCACGCAAGAACATCTTTGTATCGTTAGCGGAGTCGCCAAACTCTTAACTGCACAATGTTTGTCATTAATTGCTCGTTCAGTAAGTCTCTTTATCATAAGAATTAGTCTTTCATATTGTAGATTACTGAGATGATCTTATACATTGAAGTTAATTTGTCTGTGTTGCTGTCATTTCAATGAGACGCTAATTGTTAACCAGTTTAATCATTGTGTGTGAACCTCTTTGAAGGTGAGGAGGAAGAGTGTGTGATTGCGGGCTGGAACTGCACCTTCCCGAGTCAGCCTATTGCTGTGCCCCCCAGCAGGAATACACAGGACCTCAGTAAGTGAAAAGTGTTTTGTTAGTCAGAGATTTCCTGCGACATGTTTTTATGTAACCTTGCGTCATATATTCTAAATTCGACTTAATTTAACCTCCGTAAATACGATGCCGACATTACCACTGCAGACCCTACATGTCCTTTATGTTCATGTTCGTCTGCTCTTTCTAGGCACGCTGCTCTTCGCCTTCTTCACCTTCTATGCCAAGTTTGATTTTGCCAGTAGTGTCATATCTGTCAGGAAGGGGCGCGCACTGCCAATCACCGATTTCCTCAGCCAGAATACAGAGGAGGAGAAATCCACCAAGCCCCACGGTCCCAAACTGGGCCCCCTAAATCTCTTGGACCCCTTTGATCTCTCCCACAACGTGGCTGGAAACCTGAATGAGCGCTCTCAGCGCAGCTTCCAGAAGGAGTGCCAGGAGGCCGACAAGTACTGCCGCAGCCTGCAGTACCAGCGCAAATCCACCAAGGGGAAATCGTGGGGGCTGGTGCGCCTGTTCACCCCCCACGGGGAGGTCCCACAGTCCAGGCCAGAGCAGCCGACCATCAGCATCCCCTTCAAGTTGGCGTCGCTCCCCGAAGGCCTGCGTAATCAGCTGCACCAGGCGGGAGACGGCTTCCGGTTGCTGTGGTTTCAGAAGGTTTGCTCCGCCGTGGAGGGAGTCTTCCAACGTGTTCTCAGGTGTCACCTCGCTCCCTCCACAGACGCCGTCTTTGGCGAGGAGTCGGTCGACGACGCCGCTGGGGAAATGGAAACTACCTCCGCTTCCCTCAACTCGTTGATAAATGACAGCTGTGACAGTGTTGAAGACCAGAACGAAGCCAGCCCCACGGTCGGTGCCAAGAGGCAGCTGTCTTCCGGCAGCGACGCTTCCGAGTCGCCTCAAGGCAAAAAGCCGAGACTGGCAAAAAGGGGCACGCCCGAGTCCCCTCACTGGATCTGTGTGCAAAAGTACATGGTGTGGGCCGGCAGGAGGAAAGTGAGGAGGGAGCTCATCAAAGATACGGACTCGAGGCCGGAGGGCAGCTGCATGGAGCTGGAGTCCAAGGTCACCGCTCACATCATCGAAAAGGAGCCGGAGCTCAAGGAGCCGCTGGAGTTCAAGGTCCAGCCCCATATGGTTGGTGGGACAGAAAGCACGAAGGCGGTGCTCAAGTTGGAGCCGATCAGCGACAAGACGGGAGTTTTTCAAGACTTGTTTCATTTCCTGGAAGCCTTCTTACCTAAGATGGTGGAGACACTGCTAGAGAGAGGGGGGAGTGCTTCACACATGTGAGCTTTAAATCTGAGCTTTTTCTTTTCTTTCTGACTCAAAGGTGTTACTGCTACTTGTATTAACCCTTTAGAGTGGGACATGAAAGAGCGTTGTTGTGGCTTTGTTAGTTTCAGAATAAGATTAATAAGCCCTGCTGTTGTGTTTGAGATGTGGCTTTGTTTTAGTGCTTTTCTGTTTAAAATAATGTTCTTATATGTTGAAACTTTAAGGGGAAACTTCAAGTGGCAGACATGTGATGTACACAAGGCTGTCTTCAAGTGAATAAAGAGTCTTTGTAGAACACCGCCTCCTTCTGTACATCGTAGTTGTGATTACATCGTCTCCAAAGCAGCATCTTTAAAAAGTAATTTTATTTCATAAAGGGCTGATTAATTGTGCTGTGCTTTGGTTCAACTTGGACTGCCAGGAAGAGGCCCGTGAGTGGAGCTTGTATCCAGTCAGGTCTGTGCTCATCTGCTGAGACATATGAGAGTAATTACTCAGGCAGGCAGAACGCTTTATTAAAGCAGGACAAGCAGGAGCTGGGGGGGTGCGCAGAGCCCCCACTGTGCTGATTAACATCATTCATCTCACTTTTAAAGGGAGATGCAGATGGCCGGCCGGTTAAATGGGGCTGTGGAGAATGGCTGTGATGATGAAGACGTTTGAGACGGCTCACCACATTTTAATTTGATGCTGGTTTATGTTACCGATGGGATGTCGGTTGTGGCCATAAAATGCAAGATAATATTGTGTTATATGACAAAAGTAACCGCTCCAAAGTTTCTCACCAAATCAAACAAGCTGTTAAGCTTTTTAAGAAAAAGTATATTTTGACCCCAAATATTGTTTGACTATGATCAGAAAGGTCAAATTGCATCATGAATCCAATTATCACTGAAATGTTGATTTTTAGCCGTGCTAGCGTTTCCCTTTGTGTTGCCAAATGCTGTTCTGGTCTTCAAATTGAAATATCTCAACAGCTCTTTATTTGATGTATTGCCATTGTACAGGCATTCATGGTCCCCTGAGGATGAACCCTAACGCCTGATGTGACTCCCTGACTTTGCTTTTGACACCAGCAGGTCAAAGTTTTCCCTTATGAAATATCTAAATAGATAAGCACAAAATGATGTACAGTATGAATTGCATTTGAGCTTTTGAGTGAAATTTCTCAAACACGCAAACAAACAATCCATCCAATAGTTGTTTTTTCGAGGCTGAAGCCCTGACCATTCTCTTCTGTGTACTTATTCTTTTGAGGTTCACTTCAACATCAGCCATTTTCTTTCACCGACACTCCCGGCTATTCCAATATCCCCATCCCTTGTTTTTCTACGGTCTGATATACGAGCTCTCTCTCTCGCACACACCTCTAAGCAAGAGAATGACGTGATTGATACCGAAATTGGGGATGTGTGTTTGCTGTTGGCCTAAACAAACCATTACTAGTTCACTCATCATGCTTTTTTTCTTCAAGTTTCCCTTCATCCAGAGAACGATCCATTGTAAAGATGGACAGCAACACGTGCAGTCCTGGATGGTAATGAGCGATGGTTTCATTGGGTATTGATGACACACTAGCTAAGTTGCATGTAGCTCATTCGCTGTAATTACTATAAGAAATGATGGTGGTGGGCATTTGTATCTGTTGGACCGTAGGGTCCATCTTCATTTGGAGTTCCCCAGCAATGAGACAAAAACAACAACCAACTTCATGTTTTGTGTAATTGCGGTCCACTGGGAGTAGATCATGAGTCAACCCCCCCCCCCAGACATGAATCTCCACAGCTGGCAGGCAATATCAGCTGTGACTCATCATACCATCACATCTAGTGTGATGATGTAAGTATACGTCATATATATATAGTCATCAACCCCTCTGCATGATCAAGACGTTGCATCCATGGCAAGATGATGTCATGACATCATCTTGCCATGGCAGATTTTAAGGGCTATCATTTATAATTCATAAACAGAACACCGTCTTCCCTAATTTGTAGCGGCATTGAGAGCACGCTCTGAATCAAATCAGCGACCTTTCCCGAGCCATCTTGACACCTGTCTCGCCATTCATCAGAATCACCTGAAGCTCTGCCATTGCCAGCTCGCTCGTAAATACATCAGCCGCTGGGATAGTTCTGTAATTGGTAGCCTCTGCTTTCCAGAAAAAAAAAGGAGTGCTGCTGCTCTTTTGCGGAGCAGCTTTGATCCTCTTGGAGGAAACGAGCAAATGAGATGCTCTGACTTGTGCAACCATTGTCTAGGACTGCCTCTGTGAAGAAGAGTCTGTGTTTATGCCCCCACAAGAAAGGCAGACAAAAGCCTGTAACATCAAAGTTAAAGAGAAATGTGTTATTGTTTGCCGACTGGCACTCCATGGCCCCTTTTAGAGCCATTTATATGTTGATGAATTACAGTGCTGTGGTAGTGGGCAGCCCATCAACCCCCCATTTTTGTCTCCTGACCTGTGCAAACAGATCGTGCCTGAAAAGCACTCTGCTCATATTAGCAGCTCCCCGAGTCTGAAGATAAGGCTAAAAGAAAACGCAAAATCATTCCCCCCCATTCCGTCCGTGATGGCAGGAAGGAGTCAGTGTTGTATTTGGACTATAGGCAGCATGTGTAATGGAAATGGTGAGGAGACAGGTTGGGGAGAAAAGCTTTTAGAGCACCATTTGATGAGCACGGGCAGATTCCCATAGTAAGAAGGTTTCCAACAACATGATCTGTTCCTGTTCTCGCTCTCGGCTGTAAAAATGACAAAGTCTCACCTAAATAAAGTGTCAGACATCTTCACCATGCATCAGGGGGAAAAGATGGTAAAAGTGAGCAAGATTGGAGGAAAAAAGTTTTGAAACTGGTCCCTACTGGTCCCATTATCTTGGCCTTGATGGCATCTCCAACACTTCTCATCTCGGTAGGGGCCCAAACTGCTCTCCAGGAGTGCATTAGCTGGAGCTTATTGGACTGAAAACATTCACTGTTCTGCCCTTTCCCTTATCTGGGGGCTGTTGCTTTCTCCGTGTGTACCTACAAACTCTGGAGGGAGCTAATGAGTTTGTCCTGTGCATATTGTTGTTTCTTGTCATTGACTTTTACAGCCCGCAGAGTGAACGCAGAGAGGTTGATTACTGGAGTAGAATGTTCAGGGTGGCCACCGTTAGCGGTTGGAAATGGGTGATTACGACAGAGAGGACACATATCAGTTCCCTTGAATGGGAGATCATTTATTCCTTATTTAATCACTTTTAATTATTCCCCTTGTTTTCCCAACTCACCAGAGTGTTAAAAGCCACGCTATTCCCATTTAGGTTCCATTTAGCTGTTTTTGCATCAATTTGGTCATTTGGTGTAAGAACTGCATTACACTAATCGTCCCTCGGTATCGGTTTGAATTATGGTGCAATAATTGCTCAGAAGCAGTCAGCGCAATCGATGCGTAATACCACAATCCACTCACGGCCTTTATGGCATGGTCATATACGCTATAAACGCCTGTTTATATTGTCAACACCAGCAGCTCTTCAGAGGCTGGCAGCGGGGATTTATGCCGAAATCAAGTTGTGTTTTTGACAAGGGTTTAGGGACAGACACATTGTATTTTATAGCCCTATAACCAACACAGGAGAGGGGTTTTCATGACCTCCCCCGGGGAGCCCAGTTGGGCGACATGACGTGTGCTGTTGCTTTTAATGGAACCATGACAGTTTCTTTGATTCACCAATGTTCTAATACATGGCTGATCGTACACAGCGGCACTTTAAACCGAGCATTTATTGCATAAAATCAGCTGTGCATCTCTAAAGTGTGTGCAAACATAAAAGGACGGAGGCCGGAACGCCTCGCCGTGTGCACACTAAAAAGACATCCCCGCTCCCGACCTGTCGGACATGGGACGACTTCAGGCGTCATGGACCGAACAGCAGACCGTGAAGATCCGAGATAAACAGGAGCCGCTGCAACGGTCATAAATGGGACCGATTACGCTATAGACTCAGCCTCAGCACTTGAGAGCTGAAAGGTATGTACACGCTGTCTTGTGTGCTCATGTCGTTTGAGCCACATCAGCCCACATCCATCCTAATAGCATCATGTAATGGCTAATACAAGTGATATTTGATTCCAGAACACCTCGATGGATCGTTTATTTCAACTATAACATGCTGACACTATGTCTGTGTGTGTGTGTGTGTCTTTAACACAATAGCATTATTGATCTGTGGATGCTGTAGCCTATGATCTCTGCTTCCAGACCATAGTAATGACTTCATCACCATGTGAATAATGCTTGCAGGGGTGATGAGTGCATAGAGGGCCAAAGGTGAGGGGGGGCTAATGATTAGACACATTAGGCTAAATCATTCCTGGATATGAAGCATTTCATATTAATGCATTAACACTAATACATTGACATTTACAAGAAGTTGTGATCGAACCCATGTCTATATTTTAGAGTGTCATTTCAGGGGCCTGCACATCCCATATCCTCTGTGTCTACCGGAAGATGGATGTGTTTGTTCATTGACTACTACCCCACGCACAGAATAGACCGGAGTCAATACAACAATTGGACGGCTGATCTCAATTGAAAAAAGCATTAATTTCCCTTTTGTTCAAAGTGGCATCACTGTCATGTTGTGTGTTACAGTATCTTCTCAAATTAGACCTTTTTTCAATATTCTTGCCAAACGAAAATGACGAGAAAACATCTGGCAGCAGAAGAAGCGATGGATAGAGACTACAGCTGCTGACTGTGATAGCTGGAGGAATGTCTTCTCCGTGTTGTTAAGCACTATATTGCAGAGCCAGTCATCCCATCTCTCTCACAACGTCGATACACTTTGGTTTCTGAAGTGCTGCGCAGGCCTTTATCTCAAGTGTGTACCCACAGCTGTATTGTTTTCAGATTGTTGTGGTTTCTGAACTTGCCCGTTGAGAGAAATAATTTCAGTGCAGGTGAGTTCAGGTTTGAGTCGTTTTCTTTTTTGGAAACACTCTGTACTTTCTATAGCCTAATAGTTTCTTTCAGCGTCCAAAAATGTTGCTCTTCACCTAGCAGCATTGTTACGTCACATGTTGGTAGAAAACATACGGACACGTGCCAGGCATACAGTAGCTGCCATGAATGAGCAAGTAAAACATAAGACCAGTAGGCACCAAATGTAGACATGATGCCGACTGGGTTTTAACCAATGGTCCATGATTTGAACTCATAAAACAGAGTGACTGGACTATTTCATTGCAACAATTCCAGCAGGTTTCTGTTTGTCTGTTTATTTCATAATCATGCGTCGTGCATGGATGATGTGCTGCAAATAGCATCTTCTTTAATTAAGAGGATGAAATTGTTAAATTGTTACCAAACCCACTAACTTGGCCACAAATGTCAAACTTCATATTGAAAAAGCGGAGAGAAGGCAGGTTGACAAAACAATCTTCAGAATTCAGCTAAAAGTCATATATTAAAAACAAATGTAGCTCTAATCAAAACTATTTAGAATATCGTGCAGAGATAAGTTTCCACTGTAGACGCAGCTA